TGAATACACTATTATTTTATTATTTCTGGTCAAACTTCAAATCTTGTGAGCAGTTACAAGTAGTGGATGCTCCTCCATTCTAAATAAGCTGTTGACATTATTCTTTTTGTTTATTATTTTAGGTCATATCAATAAGTCCTGGTTATTTTATTTTTATTTTCTTTATTGGTATTCTCAATAAGTCCAATTGTTATTTTATTTTGTTAGGCATTCTCAATAATCCTATTATTTATTTAATAGTTATTCTACTTTTCTTTTATTCTTTTTATTCAATTCCCCTCTTTGCGCCTATTTTTACCTTTAATATTAAATTAGTTTGTATACAAGTTACCACAGGAGACCTTTAGAACCTTTAGTGAATCCCATTAATCATAAATCATTCAGTCTTTATTCTTTCACTTTATGTTACTTTGTTAATTCATTAACAATTCTTGAATTAATGAGAACAATGATCAACAAACAAATAAATCAATTGAATTAAAGCTGTTATTGCGAGGTAGCCGTGATGGATTTAAAAGTACCGACTTTCATCGTCTGTGTGATGGTAAAGATCCGAAGTTTGTTGCCATTTGCGTAAAGCTAGGAAAAGATCATCGGTGGTTATAATCCGTTTCTATGGAATTCATCTTACCAAGCATATACATCTTCAAAAAGCTATTTGTATAAAGTTAATTCAGATGACATTCAAGCTGCCAATGGATTTTTAAGCAAATATAAACGAGGATGGAGTGTACAATGCGATGGAGAGCCTGGACCACTTTTTTGTACATAGCGATTTAGCTCTGTTTAACATTTCTGACAATTACTACGTTACATATTCCTTCGATCATGGTTTGTTGAGCTCTGATGGACAAACGTACTTTGAAATTGTGGATTATGAAGTGTATCAAGTGATGCAGAAACAAATTTATTTTTTCGCCCAAATCGTATAATGATATTATTTTTGATTGAACAAAATTAATATTTGTATAGAAAAGAGTTGTAAAATATTTTATTTATTAGCGTTTGCGTCATTTATTTTAAAAACTGTCTGATTACCACCTGTGCGTATATATTGTATACTGATGTGTTGTTTAATTGTGTTTTCATAATAAAGTTGTCAAAATCACTTACATGTATTAAGTTTCGAATTTACTTTTTTTTTAGAGCAGAAGATATAATTGAATCAGAAGATAATTGTTCAATTTTGAATAGTTTATTTATATTTGATGATAGCTTTTGTGAAAACAAGATAAAGAGCGCAATACAGAATTCAAGAATCAAGATTCCAAAGTTAAAAGATAAAGAGCGCAATACAGAATTCAAGAATCAAGATTCCAAAGTTAAAAGAAATAATTAGCAGAACAGTGAAAGAATTCTATCTATTCTGGAATAACATGTTAAACTAACAAAACAAGCTTTGTCAATAAAAAATCTGTCTTTATGAACCAATAATAAAACACAAATATAAAAATATACGTTGATTGATAATAGTCTTTTCTTTATCTGTTCCTTGACCTTTTTGCGTTATTAAAGAATTAGAAATTTTCAAGAAATTTGAAAATCACTTTAATGAGTTCATTTAAACCAATTTATTAATAGTAGTAATGTTTCTATTATTTGACAACGAGACCACGGAGAAAACAATATGAAGTTGCATTGAAATCATTACGTTATTCAAAGCAAATTCCCTTAGTTTATAAACGAGGTAAAAACGAACAATTCTAAAATGTGTGCATGTTCTTTTTTGTTTTCTAATACAATTATGTTTTTTAAGTGCGCTCGTAATTATATTAACTATTATTAGATTCATTACTTTTGAATCATAGATTTGTGAAAATTTATGATATTCAAACATATCGATATTACTGCAGTACGTTTTCGGAATTTAAGATTTCAACTTTATGCGTGAAAATCGATCGATTCGATATTGTCGCTATGGATTACGCATCCGGTGTATTAAAAGACGACATACTTTTTTGCGTGCACAACTATTTACAATGATGACGTTATCAATGGATGAAGATTTAATTTTACAGTTCAATAAATTTTATTTTTAAATAGATTTTACAAAAAAACCAAAAAATCTTGTTTAATACTTGTTTTTTATTATTTGAAATACTTCCCAATCATCCCAATAAAAAAATACATCGTGATCTTTGATACCCATCTCATACGTATCGTTTACCACCTGTCCGATTTTTTTTGAACAGTTTATACTAACCCATAAATCAGGTCCAGCACCAAAGCACGGTCCATCCCATGGATGATCAACCAATGCGCAATGTTTAGCGTTTTCCTTTATTCGGCTAATCTTTGCATTACTTAAATTTCTCCCATTATCAAATGAAAAAATGAATGCAAAATCAGTTTGATGGTTTGATGAGAACCAGCCTCGTTTCCAACCGTTTTTCAAAGGATTGTATCCGCCGAGAATTTGTTCGGATCCGCTTGATTTTACGAGTATTATTGTTGGACCTGCTCTGTCGCATTTTTCGTGAAATGCTTTTCCGGATATTCCGTCAGTGCTTGCACGATAAATGCGCTTGAATGTGTATGGGACGCTTTGCCCGATTTCGGATTTTCCATTAATCCATGAGGAAATGAGAGCCGCGTGTTTTGGCTTTATAATTTTCGATTCGATTCTTAATGGTGGTAATCGTGGCTCTATGATTCTATTTGTAATAGGTATAATGCCAGTGAACCGAAATTGCGAATACTCCTCTAGTAATTTTTCGGATAGAATTTTTTCATAAGGTCGTACGTATCGGTCAAATTCATTGGGTGATATTTGAAAAAATCGTATAAGCGGCAAAAATTTACAAAGTGTCTGTTGCAATAGTTTGCATTCGTCAATGTTTCTATCTGAGATGTTATTGATATTATCTAGACCCCACCTAATCAAATTTTTCCAAATATCAATTTCCTTGATGTTAAGTTCATCGTTTCCAACTAGTAACAGCAAAACGTTTTCTTCTAACAAACTAAATTTAGGCGATTCAAATAGCAATCTGGCATCTCGTTCGACAATCTCATTGATACAGTAGTTTCTAAGTTGAAAACATGCGGGACGAGGAACGATGATATTTAACACATCGATGATCATCGTTTCAAGCCATAGCTTTTCATGTTCTATTAGATATGTTTGAACCTTTTCTAATAGATCATCAAAGATCATTTCGTCCGATGCAATTAGCAGATCTAAACAAGCCGACGGATCGTATACGCTTAAATCAAATACGTCTGTATTCAGGTATCTGTTGTAAGCTTTTATAAATTAATATGAGTATTTAAAAGGTTATACTGAAAATGAGAAAATACCTTAAGAGTGCCTCAAATACACTTGCAGATATATTTGGTTTTCGAAAATAGCACTTGTCATCTTTAATCGTGGTCCATTTATTTGAAAATGCTGCAGCAAAGTAAGCTGATTTTTCTTGCAAAACAAGTTTATTGACAACAAACATTTGAATGTCTGCATAGTCATCGCCAACTTGGATTGTAACAATATTTAGATTGTCAATTATATTTTTCATTTTTTTATTTGTTAATACGATACTATGTTCTAGTGAGTTGAAACGATAAAAATTCTTTTACTGGTTCTTGCTCTAGTTTTTCATTTTTCTATGTACATAAATTAAAAAATGTATTTGTTTATATTTATATGCAAGATTTTTTTCACTCTACATAATTCAGCATACGTACTGTAAAGCAAGCACCCTTGGTACTTTACATTCTTCTCGTGATTAAGGCGGTACTTTGCATTGAAACTATAATTAATTGGGACTTCCGGAGGCATACCTAATTAAGTATAACAATGGAATGGATCGGGTTGGGGTACTCCATCAGAGCAATATCGTTAACAATAATATTTTGATAAATTGGATTTACTGTACATGTACGTATAAAAACGTTCAACGCCGATACTTTAACTACATGTACTTAGATATATCGATCTCGATATTGTCTAATTAGATTTAAATAACGCCCGAGGCAACAATTACGTATTGCATTAAACACAGACGTCGTACTACATACCGATACATGTACATGTACATGTACTTGCTTGGTCAGTGAATAGTTTTTGGGATTCTTTATGCATCATCGTGCATTTTGGTACATATATTGATATACGTACTTTTACTTGTAAAGAAATTCAATAGATCTTTCTTCACATAAATAGACTATTTTATAGTTTAGGCTTTAATAATAAAGAATTTTAACGCGAACCAACTAATTCAAATGGAATAAAAATAATAAACCATTTTACCTTTGAAAACACAAGAAATAAATGATTTATAAACATTTTTTATATACTGTATGTGACTTAATGTCTTCTAAGCAAGTACATGTACTTTTTAATTATTCGCTGGTCGAACAGGGTAGGTTTCACCCGTGGTATAAAGTACAGGTAAAAATAGGTATGGAAATGCAACTTTTTGAAAAATTAACCCATATTAGTGTATTGAGTTTTGACAAGATAAACCCAGATATTGTTGCTATTTTCAACAAAAATTTCGTAATTCCTTAATTCCTTAATTTTTAAATTATTATAAATTATGGTGTATCATAATTTAAGCCAATAATAATTTTCCCTTTTATTTTCACTTTGTACATGTATATTTACATGTACGTAGTATGAATTTTGTGAATATCATTTCCTGTTTGATCAAAAATTTAAATAATCATTATTCTTGTATACTTTCCATTTTATTTTCATTTTTATTTTCACCTTTATTTTCTTTTGTACTTTCCACTCAAAAATTAATATATTTGCTATTGGTTCTTATATTCTATCCCCAACAAAAATATTTTTAATTCTTATTTCATTATATTTATCCAATCACATTCATATTTATTTTATCTCTTATTTTCATTTTTATTTTTTTTTTCATTTTTCTTAGTTAATATTTCTCATAATCAATCTTGTATCATTACTTTTCTTTCTTTAAATCTTTTCTTTTTACTGCAATATTGATTTTTCTTATTTCTAATCATTAATCTTATAAATTTTCTCTTGTATTTTTCTTTCTATTATCATGTATAATTTTTCATTTATTTTTTGGTCTTTGTTCTTTTTTTAGTATTATTTGTAATAGTAATATAATCCAAAATAATTATTAATCATGTAAATTGTAGAAACTATTAAAAATTTATAAAAGAGAAGTCTTTCATTACTAGAAATTTTCATGCACTAATCTAATAAAAATAATAAATTCTTGCTTATAATATTATACTTGTAAATATACTATTATTTTTATAATTATCTTCAAATTTTGATTACAAGTAATGGATGCTTCTCCACTTTAAATAAGTGGTTGATTTTATTATTCTTAGTTATTTTAATTTTATTATTTTTAGACCATGTCAATAAGTTCTGTTAATTTTATATTAATAATTAATTTTTTTATTGACAGTCTCAATAAATCCAATTATTGTTTTATTTTAATTGGTAATTCAATAAGTACTATTATTTCTTTTAATAATTATATTAGTTTTATTTTAATTAATTATATACTTTTTATTAAATTCTTCTAATAAGTTGATTTGTATACAAGCTATCATAAAAGATTTTTAGAATCTTTAATGAATTCTATTAATCATAAATTATTTAGTTTTTGTTCTTTTACTGATTATGTCTTTGTTAATATAGCTCTTGAATTAATGAGAAGAATATTAGATTTATCATGTCAAAATTATAATCAATTATTAGATTAATTTATTATAGTTATTATTATATTTGTTATTGTTGCACTATAATTTGAAGTTGATAAAAGTAGCTTTTATACGATTAATAAATATATATCTAAATCAATATTATACCCAAAATTACACACTGAGAATTTTTTTTAGTCACTCAACCTGAATTTGCATAATAAAAACTCGAGTTATTGACAATTTGACAATTTTTTTGGCGTAAAAAATTTGAATTAGCAATTTAAAGATGATTGATTAAATAAAAATTTTTCATATGAATATATTGTTCTCTGATTAATTAACACCATTATAAAACTTAGTCTAAAAGACGAGTAAAAATAAGTATAAAAATGCAACTTTTTGAAAAAATTTTTGTTTTTGGACAAAAACAAGAACAAACTTATAATTTTATTTAGACTGGTTTTTATCTTAGATAAAACTTACTCTTTTCAATTAGTGAATTTATATATAAATAATCGAATGATAATATTTTTTTGAATTATGATTATTCAAAAATAATAGAATACAATTCATATATTATATGAAATTATAAAATTATTCTATTAGTTTAGTTTTTTAATATAATTAACTTAAATATTGTAATTGCACAAACAAACTTATACAATTTTATAAGAATTATATTATATTAAAAAAATTTTGAATAATTTGAAAACAGTAAAAATAAGTAAAAAACTTTATATAAGTTGATTTGATTATTAATTAAATAAAAATTAAAACATATTATATAATAAAAAATAGCTCAATTATCATAGTTAATTTAAATATTTATAAATAATATTGAAATTAATTTTTGAATGTGATCCAAAAAATTCAAGTAAAATCGATATTAATTTATTCAAGTTATCAAAATATAATGAAAATATATACATATAGTGACAATCAATATAAATGTAACAAAGGCAAAATTTATTAATAAAATATAATAAAATACGAGTTTTTTATATAAAATTGTTCAATTTTACTATGGTGCATAAAATCTAAAGTTATCAAACATTTGTATTTTATAAACTGTATAAGCTTCTTTACAAAGAAGTCAATACAAAATTTAATTCGTGAATATGATAGAATAGACCTTTTCTGGGCATATTCACGGATTAAATTTTGTATTTACTTCTTAGTAAAGAAGTTTATACATTTTATAAAATACAAACGTTTGATAACTTTAGATTTTATGCACCATAACATTATACGTATTTTATTATAATTAAAAAGAACTGGTAAGAGGAACTAATCACTCAAATTATTTACTTTCACTAATAAAGAAACAAGACTCCGGTAGATCTATCGCTATATTATTTTCCAATATTTGGGACGACGGAATTTCGATAGAAATACCGAAAAAAGTGCAACTTGCGTATTGGTATCATCAGTGTTGCTTTGTGTTAAAACTATCGTTATCGTTATCGTTATGATATCGATACCAAAAAGGATCTATTTGTTTCGCAAACATGTAAAATGACCTTATTTTAATATTAAAATTTAGTGACCAGAAGTCATTTGTGAAATATCACTGTAAAAGCCCAAGTAAACAATCGACAACTTTTCCTTTATATTTCCATAACGATTAGTACGTAGTATCATTATACATAACTAAAAATCGACATCATCATTATCGTTGTTAATTTTTACACTTTTGCCTCGCAAACTTTAAGACTTTCATGATATGTCGTCGACGATAGAACGAAACGAACAAGAATTTTATTGCAAACATTGTAGTACAGAAATGAAGGGTTTGTACTGGTGTAGCGCGTGTGAACATAAAAAATTCAACCAAAATTTTAGTAATTGGACGAGTGGAAATGAAGAATATGATAAATTTATACAGAAAACACAATTAGATTCATCAAATTATCGTGATTATTTTGAATTCATCCCATATGAACATTTTTCTGATATTAAAGAAATCGGTAAAGGAGGGTTTGGAACGGTGTACTCGGCAATATGGAAAGAGGGACCACGATATGGTTGGGATGAAAGAGAGTATAAATGGCTACGAGCTGGACCAACAAATATAGCGCTAAAGAGTTTAAATCAGAAATCCTTAAACCACGAGCATTTAATGCAAGAGGTAAGAAAGTACATTATGAATTATAAATTCTGACTATTTATAACGATAATAATTTATAATTTTAGCTTAAAGCGCATTACATTTGTCGTTTTAATCGTCGAATCTTGCACTGTTATGGTATTACTAAGGAAACGTCCACCGGTGAATACATGCTAGTAACTCATTACGGAGATTTGCGAAGTTATCTGAGTAAATTTTCACAAACATCACTTGGAAAAAAAGATTGGGAATTTTATATGATATAATTCGCGGCTTGCGATTCATTCATCAAAACAATTTTATTCATCGCGATCTCCATCCT